GGTTAGCCTTGCTTAGTACTTGGAGGGAAGATCACCAAGGAAGTCCAGGGTTGCTACGCAGAGGCAGGCAACGGCAAGCCACCGCTGAGCATCTCTTGCCTTGGAAAACCCACGAGATCGCCATAAGTCAGGGGCAATGTTCCCTCTAAGCTGCGGAGTCTTGTGAGCAAAAATTCTGCTTCGAGAGTTACTGGCATTAAAGTTCTGAGCAAACAATTTGGCTGCCGCACAAATTAGTTTGCTCTGGAGCCATCCTTCCTGTGAGCCGGAGGCTAAACTACTGTGAGCTGGCTCACACTAACTCAGCTTAGAGGGAACAATGGTCAGGGGTGACTTTGATGTCAAAACTAAATTCAGAAGAGAGAGAGAGAGAGATCAAATCCGTTATCTGTAACAGGGCCGAAGACAGTCTTGCGAATGGACAGACACAAAATGTACTCGCCTACGCAAGTAGTTTCTAAGTCCCCCCGCAGGTGAATCATTTGCGATCGTTAAAATAAACAGATACATACATTTTTTAAAAGAGGGAGTGCCGTCTTTTGTGAATCGTCCTTTGCGCCATCACTTAGCGGCAATTCTCAGCTCGCCCTAGCTAACTGTATGAATGCTGGCTTATAGGCCTGGCTTTGGACTGGGAATAATAATAATGACAGCTGAAATAGAGCCACAGAGAATGGGAAATAAGACAGGAGGATGGTTAGAGGCAGAGGGTGAGGAACAGATGGTGAGAAAGGTTAAATGGCTGAACAAAAAGCCGGCTTAGAGAGACAGAAATGCTTGACTGGGGCAGAAGGGGGACCCATGATTAAACAACTAGCAGGGTGGCCAGGAGGTAACGGAGAAAAAAAATGTTCTGTCCCTTTAAGAGAAGCTTCACGGGATGCTCTTTACCAGGGGTATGTTAGTTGGCTTCAGAGGTTCATTGCCACATATCAAGCTTCTGTTAAAGGGGTGGGACATTTTTCCCCCCTCCAAGGCCTGCTGGAAGGTCATTACTCCAAAACAGCTTTGCCGTTCCTGGGACCTGATGTGTGCACACACAAGAAGAAGATGATGATGGACGGTAGGAAGGAATACGTGGAAACTGGATACATTTATTTATAGATGATCTACTAAGTGGAAACTGGATGCATTTATTTACGAACGATCTAATAAGTGGAAACTGGATGCATTTATTAAAAAAAAAAAGGATCTCCACGGTTTCCAGAGTTCCAAGGCTGATTCAACTCCTCATCAAGATCTGAACCCCTCCCTAATAAGGCGGCCATTCACATCATCAGAAGAGCCCTGCTGGATCAGACTGGCGGTCCATCTAGTCCAGCATCCCGTCTCCTCACACAGTGACCAACCAGTTCTTCTGGAGGGCCAGCAACAGGGCAGAGAGGCCAAGACCTTCCCCTGATGTTGCCTCCTGGCTCTAGTTTTCAGAGGTTGACTGCCTCTGAACATGGAGGTTCCCCTCGGTCACCATGGCTAGTAGCCCCTGGTAGACTTCTCCTCCATGAATCTATCTAGCCCCCTTTTAAAGCTGCATGCATCCTCTTCCCTTCCTCTGTCCAGGAGGCAACCAACAGGAGGAGGGGGTTGGCGGGATCCCCGTTGCATTGGCCCTGCCGATTTGGATAGGATCGCAGCAGAAGAAAGGGGATCTCCGCCATCCAGGGATGCAGATCTGGGGGGAGAGAAATCCTTTGCAGATCGGGTTCCCTTCCTGCATTGCAGGAGACCCGGTGAGAGAGCAGCACCAGACTCTTATCTCCCCCACACACAAACACACAAGGCCCTGCCCCCCCCCACCGCATGCGTCTGGTCCCTTTAGGCCAGCTGTTCCCCTCTGGCTCGTCCAGCTGTGCATCTTAAAGAGACAGGCACTGGATGCCTCCCAACTCACCTACCGCGCTTTCTTCCACCACCCTCCTTTTTTGCTCTCCGGGGTCAGTTTTGTCTCTTTACCCTTCCAAGGAAATGAAAGAAATATGCCGGAGAAGAGAAAGCGAGGGGAGGGGGAGGAGGGGGTTGGGTGGGAAAGAGGGGAAATAATCCCTTTTAAAACTGGAGGAGGACCATCTCCGGCGGCCAATGGGAAGGCCGATGGGGAAGAGTCGGGGCTGCGGCGCGACCAATCGGATGGGAGAGAAGGGGCGGGCACAAGAGGGCGGCAAGGAGGGGAGAGAAATGCTCGTTTTCTTTCGTTGTCCTCCGGTTCGATTCCCAGCACAACCTCTCTCTTTTTTTTTTTTGCAAAAGCATTGGCTAGAAACCGGAATGGTCACGGAGCAAGAATGAAAGCTACTCCTCTGTACATTTTTAGAGTCCAGTGGCCCCTTGAAGACCAACAAAGGTTTATTCAAGGTATGAGCTTTCGTGTGCGCGCACCCTTTGTCAAATGCACGAAATGCATGCACGCGAAAGCTCATACCTTGTATAAACCTTTGCTGGTCGTAAAGGGGCCACTGGACTCTAAATTTGCTCTACTGCTTCAGACCAACACGGCTGACTACCTGGATTGCTCTGTACATTTATTTATCCATATACGGTTTTATTTATTTGGTGACAAACCCGAAGAACACGCTGTCGGGGGTGGGGGTGGGGATAAAAGGGATGGACTGGATAGGTGGGTAAAGAGGTAAAAACAAAAG